AAATTCCAAATCCTCCAACTTACGTTTAAAACCATCTGCCTGCCTAATTGATTTGCATTTGATTCTGGGCAATTCATTATGTCCTGAAAGGCTTATAACAATTTTTTTCTTTCTTGTGACGCAGCATATTGTTACTATTTTAAAATATTATCTCGTATAAAACTGTAAATATATTGTGACTAATTCTTTTCTATTTGTAGTAATTTCGACGCTCATACCTGTACCTACCTGCCGCCAGAAATTTCTAGAGAATTCTCCAAAAGGGTCGAATAACCAGTCCCAGGTAACAATAACGCAGTCGACTAGCCAGTGCCCTGCGAGTTTTTATTAGACGAGAAAACGAACGAGTTTTCTAGACTGGTTGAATGATTTACATAATGGATGGTACGTCATCAGAGGAATTCCCCAGACCCTTCTAGATAACTGTATTTTATATATAAATAACAGGACTTTCATTGAGCAGTTAGTCAAAAAGAAGATCGCGATCTCGCGTTAGAATGTAACGAACGTATAAATTTATTTAAGTGTAAAATAAATTAGTAGTAAATAAAGACTTTTGATAAATTATCGTGAGTTTTAATAAATTAGAACTATAAAAATATAATAATATACTACTTTTGCATTTGAATTCCATATTACTTCACTATTTGTGGTAATTCGTTTTCCAATAAGTATTTTATTTAAAAATAGAACCGTTTGGACGATTGGTGAAAAGAAGCTGGAATACCTTGAAGCGTTGAGAATAATATTTTGACTGTGTAATATTGGAGCAACTTTGCTGTAAAACTAAGTTGAGGCGGTGACCGAAATAATGGGTAAATATTGCTAATGGTGCAGAATCTCTCACTAATTTTTGAAGTCCATTACGTTGTCCCGACATAACACTAGCTCCATCGTAGGTTTGAGCAATTAATTTAGCTTTACAGTCAAATTTACCAATTACACTAAACAGTAAGTCACGTAACGCTGGAGCACTTCGGCCTTCCCCTAGATAAAAAAACCTAAGAAATATTCTTGAACAACGCCTCTTGTATCCACTAATCTGCATACTATTAAACATTGTGCCCTTTCAGTAATATTGGCTATTTCATCAAGAATGCATGCAAAATTATAGATTATGTTACATATTTTTTTATCATAATTTAAAAGAAAATTTATATTATAATTCGATAATTACGTTACAAGTGAACACGATGGTCAGCGTAGGCCCGATCGTCTGGTGCCTAAACAGCAATCATAAACACGACAATAAAAATCGTTGTCCGGCAAGCTGCTTAACTTCAAACGCTTTTTGTACGGGGATCTTATGTGAGCTGGGTCAGCCAGTTCCGATCGGGCCTATTAATGATATTTAAAATGCCTGAATACGATTCGATGCTTTCTGTGGTAATATAATAACATAGTTGTTTTAAACGGACGTTAATGTATTGAGTGATTTAGTACATTTAAAAGTTATTTACATGCATTAACATAATTTTTGAATATATGTTTTTCAATTTTAAAGCTCTTAAAATTATTGGGTAGGCCCGGCCTATCCTGCGTACCCCAGAAGCCGCCACTGATCAGTGCAAAATGAAAAAAGGGATGGCATCCCAAATTAAGGTCTTTGGAAATTTTGTAATAGAGGCTACTGCATCAACACGTCAAGTATCTGCAATGACAGGACTTTCACACGAGTCGGTTAGAAAAGTGTTGAAATTACATAAGTTTCACCCGTACACAACATAAATTTTTCAAGAACTAGATGATGATGATCCAGACCGATGAATTGAGTTTTGTGAACTCATGACTGAAAGAATTCGCGTTGAACCAAGAATGTTAAAAAATATTTGTTTCACTGATAAATGTACTTTTATGCTGAATGATAATGTAAATAAACAAAACTGTCGGTACTGGTGTGATGCGAAACCTCATCGATTAAGTGAAGGTCACACTCAATATACTGAAAAACTGAATGTTTCGGTAGGAGTATTGGGCGATGCTATAATTGGCCACTTGTTCATACCAGGCAATTTAAGCGGTCGGGTTCATACCAGACATTTATCTCGATATGCTGGAAAACACCATCGAACCTTCAATTCTGCATAAATTAGAGAACTAAAGGAACCATTAAGGCAACCTAGCTTTAGACGACGATTTGCTGCACTTCCAACAAGATAAATCACCTCCTCACTGTGCAGCTCTAGTTAGGAACTGGTTCATCATCAATCAGCCAATCGCGTCCACTGCTGGACATAGGCCTCCCTCAGTTCTTTCCAGTGTTCTCTACACTGGGCCGCTTGTAGCCAGTTTCCCGCTACATGTTTTATATTCATCGGTCCATCTAGTCGGTGGTCGTCCTCGGCTTCTTTTATAGTTTCTGAGCCTCCATTCCATAATACGTTTTGTCCACCGTCCATCTTGTGTTCTGGCTAAGTGCCCTGCCTAGTTCCACTTAAGCGTCGTGGTTCTTTCGATGGCGTCTTGAACTCCTGATCTTTGCCTGATTTGTTGGTTTGCTATGTGGTCTCGAAGGCTCACATTCAGCATTGCACGTTCCATGGCTAATTCCGAGTTTATTCGCAGATTTTTGCGTGAGTGTTAAAGTCTCTGCTCCATAAGTTTGTACAGGAAAACACATTGGTTATAAACCTTTCGCTTGAGACACATGGGAATTGAACTTTTTAGAATATGGCTTAATTTGCCAAATGCTGCCCATGTTAGGCCTATTCGCCTCTGTATTTCATGTGTTTGATTGTCTCTGCTTATTTTGATTTCGTGTCGCAGATATTTGTAAGTGTCTGTTTGTTGTATGGTATTATTGTCAATAGTTATATTTCCACTCATTACGAGATTTGTTATAAGTTTAGTTTTCTCAAAGTTTATCTTTAATCCTGCTCTTTCAGACAGACTTTTAAGCGAATGCATCATAAAAACTGTATCATGTAAGTTATCTGCGATTAATACAACATCATCTGCAAACCTTAGGTGATTTAATCTTTCTCCATCTATATTGATGCCCATATCTTGCCATTGCGTGCTCTTAAATATTGACTCTAGAGCTGCCGTGAACAATTTTCTTGAAATATTGTCTCCTTGTCTAACTCCTCGACCTAAGCTGAATTTTTCTGTGTCTTCGTGTAGTCGTATACTTGATGTAGCGTTCTCGTAGATGTTTTTAATTAGTGTCGTGTACCTGTAATCTATTCGGCTTTGATTTAGGGCTTCCAGTATTGTTTCCAACTCTACAGAATCAAAAGCCTTCTCGTAATCGACAAATGCAAGAACCAGTGGTATGTTGTACTCGATGCACTTTTCTATTAAGATCTTTATGGTATGCAAATGGTCATTTGTGCCATATCCTGCCCTGAAGCCTGCCTGTTTTTTGGGCTGATAGAAATCAAGTTTAGGTGTTAGCCTCTTTATTAAGATTTTCATAAAGAGTTTGTACATATGTTTCAAGAGGCTGATTGCACCTGAATCACCTGAACCACTCTGAATTTTGCACCATCCCCAGTCAACTGGACGTTAATTTTTATGATATTAGGTTTATTCAAAAACCAACTGAAAGGTAATTTCAAGGGTTATAAAGTCGTATTAAATTTAATCTTTTAAATCCCTTACTTTTTAAAAGATAAAAGGTTAAAGGGCCCCCCGATTACATGGTTCTAGCAGTAAAAAAATTTAGGTTTTAAACGTTTTTATCTCAGTTATTTTTTATCCTACAAAAATATAAAATACCTCACATTTTTTTTATCATTTTTGATGTATATTGAGCAAATATGGAGTTATTCTCAAAAGAAAAGAAAATTTATGAAAATTTGAAAAATTCCGATTTTTTTAAATCAATTTTTTTTTTCAAAAATAATCATTCTAAACCGGTTAATATTTTTGAGATCATTACTTATGCTAAAATAAAGAAAGTCTTATAGGGATTACTATAAATTTTAATTTTTGTGGAAATGGCGTATGTTTTATTTTTCACTTTTTCCCAAAAAATTCGAAACGGTCCTCTTATTTTCATCATAACTTGCTTAATTTTGATGCTATCAACTTCTTCTAGAGCTCATTTTATAGGTATTTCTGAGTACTTTGAGAATTGTTTAATAAATATATATTTTACAAAATGCATTGTTTTCCCGTTATTTAAGCTTGAATAGTACCAATTTTTATAAAAATCAATAAAGGTTCAACGAAACCGGAATGAAAACCTTCAGTGACTGTACTATATAGGGAAGTAAGCAGCTAGTTATAGCAGCTTCTCTTAAAAAAATTCCCCAAATTTATTTTTTTTTAATCACCGAATTGTACTGTACTAAATGTAGATAACGTACACAACAACTTAGCAGGAAAAACCCCCTCTGTGGCTCAGTGGTAAGAGCGCCTGCCTTTAAACCTAAAGGTCGTGAGTTCGAATCCCACCTGGGTGGAAAGTTTCGTTTATTAAAAAAATTAATAGATGAAAATAATTTCTATCCTTGTGTGATCGTACACAACCGGAGGGACCGCAGACGTTCGGATACAATTAGCGTCTCTTAGCAAAGATAATGACGTCGACTTTGCTAAGTATCAAGACAATTACTCTACACACACACATTACACCTCAAATTGTAAGATTGGCGAATGGATTTAGTGTCCGCAGTCATTTAAACACAAACAAACAACAACAACTTAGCAGGAAGTAATTAATAATTTTCTTAAAGCGCACTAAGTGCATATAAAATAGATAAAAAACGTAGAAAGGAAATAATGACAATAAGGTTCAACTACACAAAAATTTTGATTGTAATTAAACCGGGAAATATGGAAAATAGAGTGGTTGCCAAACCCAATAAGTAAAACATAATAAAAATAACAAAGCAACAACACATATGAAATACGTGTTGCCTAGTCTACAGCAAGAATAAAAAAGTTTGTCTCCTAATCACCCTTTACACGTAACTAAGGGACCAGAGGCCACTACACAAATAAATCGGAAGATACAAAAAATCAATGTAAACATGACATAACCTCTATTTTCTGACAGTTTTTCAATGGTCGATACAAACACAAATTAGATTTTTCACATTCAGTTTTCATTAGTGGTTGAAATGGTTACTTAATTGAATTATAAAGTGATTTAATATAGATTTGTGAGCTGTGATATATCAGAATGGGTAAGTCAAAAATCAGTTTATAATTTTAACTACTATCGATTTTAAAAGGTAAAAATTCCATATTTTCCTAGAAGTTGAATATTAAGTATTATTAGAGAATAAAACATATATTTATATGTCTATATATACATTTTTAGAATAATTCTTAAATTACTGGTAAATAACTCTTTAGTTGTGGATATTAAAGGGTGTCTTTGTGTCCAAAATTAGTATTCTATTTATAATTAATTTAGTAGTTTTTTATCGATTTTTTCCTTTAAAACTACACGCAACAGTTGTACATGATATACTTATAAACCACAAGTAGGTATTCATTCATGAAAACAAAGGAAACTAAAAAGAAGTAATATCTTCAATTTGGTAAACATTAATAAACAAAATTAATTAGTTAATAGAATAGTTAATTATTAAAATAGGTAATAAATCTGTAAGAATGGATTTATTTGTTCTACATGTAGACAGATACTGACTTTATATGCTATTCTGAATTATTTATGATATATTTTTATTGCGGACTGACATATTAATGATATTGAATTTTTTAAATCTTTTATGAATCACATACTAAAAAACAATGATATGTAGGAATTTCCACAGCAATTCAACTTTATCCCCTCAAAGAGCTAAACTGTAGGAGAAAACAAAACACTTTCTCTGAAAAGACCAAGAGAAACAAAAATATTTCTAGGGTTTAAATTGTTTGTAATATAAAGATAATAGAAGCTAATTGATCTAAAATAATCATGCCAGGTATGCAATATTTTGCAAATATAATCATTCAATAATTTAATTTTGTTCCAATTACTTAAATAGTATTTCAGTTAAAATTAGATTTGTTAAAATATGTACTAAATTCTAAACAAAGATGTAAAAATGCAGCAAAAAAATTATTATAAAAATGAAACAAGATTATAAAATGTTTTAATAAAAATAATTATTTACTATTTAACTGGGAATAAGCCACAATTAAAGATAAAAATACATTTAAAAAATAATTCAATAAAAATCGTATTTTGAGAATGATTTCCGAAGTGGAGATTGAAACGTCAATAAACATATTTTTATCTTTAATTGTGGCTTATTCCCAGTTAAATAGTAATTAATTTAAAATGCTTCAAGAAAATAGCTTCAGAACAATAAAAATTATAAATTTACAAAAAAATTCTGTTTCTTTTTTTTTGGCTCAAACTGGAATTTCATCCTAGAACTTACCTCAGATGGTACAATTTGTCTTTGGACCCACAAAAAGATAAAACTTTTTAGTAGATAATATTTTGTATAGCAGATACTGTCAGTAGGCTCATATTTCTGATATTTTAGATACCTAATTGGTTGTAGGATAGTAGGACCTTTCTTTTTTTGATGTTTAGTTGTATTGGAAATTATTTATTACATCAAAATAAAAAAAAACACTAGTGAGAAATCAAAACTTAAAAGTGCAAGAATTATATTTCAGTTTTACACAAAATTTGATACTGACCTGGAAGAAAAAACTTCTCAACTCTTAAATTTCTTTTTAGTCAAACAATAGGCAGAATCCATTTGTGTGATCTCTTTCTGAAGTATTATAAAAAATTATCACTACATATTCCATTTCAAAGTGCATTCATTCAAGTACATTAGGTACACAACATTCCTGTTGTGTACTCCAATTCCACATCCATGGGAATAAATAATCACCTTTTTCTGTGCAAGGCAGAACTTATCTAGGCGACAACTTCATCTTTAGTTCCATTTCAACAGTAATACATGAAGTGGTGATCATTTAATAGAAATGTTACTTGTAATTTGATTTTGAAATAAAGTTTGTTGACATATGAAATTGAACAAAACTCAACTGTATGTACTTTGTTCTATTTATGTACTATACGCTACAGTTGGGAGCTTGCTTAATTATGCATATTATACAATAAAATTTATTGAGATCCCTGGCATGTAAATTGACTAATTGTGATATTTCTGTAAAATTATTGAATTCGTTAAACTGATACTAATCTCTCGACTGTTAGGGTTCAAGTGAGAGATTTGTTTTCTTATCCTTAATCCATTTCCCCAAGTTAAACTTTTTCTGCACCTTCTCCACATGCTTTCCTTTGTCTTGAGTACAAAATGGATCTCATTTAGGACTACTGCTGTTTGGAATTTTTATAAATAATGATATTACATTATTCCGATCTATTTAAGATATATATGATTACTATACTAAACTACTCTGTAGAGCAAATTATAGATGATGGACTTTAAAAATGTAGGTATATATATATATATATATATATATATATATATATCTTCTTCTATATATATATATATACATTCTATATATATATATATATATATATATATATATATATATATATATATACATATATATATTACAGTATAATATTAATATAATGTTCCATTGACAAATAGAAAAAAAAATGGATTAATAATAGAAAAGATGTCTTTAAGAGAAAAATATGGATAGTTATTCAGCACAATACAAAGCGAAAAATGAGCTTCCAGGCACATAGCTAGAAATTAGATATTTTTTCGACTTAATCCCTGTACTGTGGACAATAAAGATCTGTTCATGCACACAATAACCAACATTTAGTAGTGCATATGTGGACCAAGAGCTTATTAGAACCCTTAGCAATTACCGGAGCTACGCCAATGACTGTATCCAAAAATCTCCCTTTTCCGCCATATGAGAGGTGCTGATATAGTCTTTTATGAGAATGTAACAGTACTTTAGAATTTTGTATTAATATAAACCTAATTCTTCCTATAACTTTCAGCTTTTTTATTCCTTAAAAGAAGGACTGAAACATGCAGATTGCTTTATGGCTGCCTTTGTCCGACTTGTGACCGTTGGGTCAAGGAAGCGGCTACTTTACTTCAAAGAGAACGTTTATCTCAATATTGTACAATTATTTGTATTTTTGCTTCCCTCTTTAAAAAACACTGTTATGTTTATATGTTTGCGCCGAAAATAAAAATAAGTATGTTCTTGTTAAGAACGAATTCTGTTCTAGGGGATAGTTTGCCCAATTTTAGAAAGAGAGAATCACTTTTGGTTTGGTAGTCTAAGAGATTAGACTGACTTTTGGTTGCGTCGTCTATGAGTTTATCTATAAGTGTATGCAATATGCATACACCTCTATTGTATCTTAAGAAGTTTGATCTAACACCCTAGTAGATCAAATATACATTATAAATTAACTTCAGTGTTTGATACTAAAGTTGAGTACAGTTTAAATTCAGTGCGATTTAAGAGGCAACATCATCCAAAGTTACTGTAAGTGGTCTTACTATTAGTATTACCTCCAACTATCTTCAAAAGTAGAGTAATGTACTGGCTATCTATGACAACATTTTCCAGATCGGTTCTTAAAGCTAAATACCGATGCAATCACTTCCTCTAAGGAACAATTATTTCATCAATAGAACTTTCATATCTTTTCATTAACAAATATTAATCACAAACTTTCATTATTTAATTAAAAGCTGTGCGAGTAGCTTCTTGTGAACTAAATGCGGTTTGGTCCTTATTTTAATTTTTGCTAAAACCAATTTTTATAATCTTGTCTCTATTCTTTTGCAACTTTATTGTAAAATAATTTAGTATTATTTGCTTAAATGTAGTAGTACTGCACTACATTTAAGCAAATGCTAGTATAGTTGCAAATTGCTAGTAGTACTTGCATAAATATTACTTTTAAAGCCAGTTATCTCGATATAAGCCTAAAACATTAAGGAGAGATATTTATATGAACTATTCTTTTCGATTTTTTTTAAAAATATTAAGTTCTCCTTAATGTTATATTTTATTTATATGTACATGTGTCTATGTCTATCATATTACAAGAATTCGTATTTTTTTACATGTTAGAGTAGATTTTTTTGTATTTCTTGTTTTTGGAATTCACCCATCTGGTGATTCAGCTATTGAATATATTTTTTTTGTTTACCTACTGAATTTTATTTATCTACGCCCAATAAGTTTCCTGCTAATGGAGTATCTCTGAATATTTGCTAATACAAATATTTAACTATCACGATATCCTCAACGAGGAGAAATATCAGGCTGTCTATGATTGTAGGTAAGTAGGTGGACGAATTCCACCGAACATATTTATTATTTGTTTATGTAGTGTGTTGACCACATTTATTTAATAATTAACTGTTAATATCTTTTCTTGTATTTGGCCTCAGAACCTAATTATCTCTCCTTATCTCTTTTCTTTTCTAAGCTTTCTTAATTTTCCCTTTGTAACCTAAAAAAGTTAAGTGGCACCCTTTTTGTTATCTTCTCTTCTTTGCTAATTTTACGTATCTGTCTTGTTATCTATTTCTCTGTTTTTTCTAATCAATCTGATTTGTCGTATCGTTATTATTTCTTCTGTTGGATCCATTCCCGATTCCAAAAGCTAGTTTCGAATCCCCGACTCTCTGAACCAACCATCTAGCTGCCGTTCGTAGTGTCTCCATTGGTGATCTTTGTAGCACCATCAAAAAATGGTTCCTGAGGTTACAACGTGTTTTAGAAGATAGTTTCCCTTAAAAAAAAAAACATTTAATGTCAATAGTATAAGTACCTGGAAAACTGGTCGAAGTATCAGTAGTCCACATTTTCCAGAATTAACTAAGACTGTTTTAGACTATACTTTTTTTCTTTTTTTTGTTAACAGAACGCGATCAAAACAAATAAGTTGAAATTATTGTATACAATATATATATATATATATATATATATATATATATATATATATATATATATATATATATATATAAGATACAATACAATCCAATAAATACAAGAAGTTTTATGTATTACATTCTCACATGTTCAAATTAGAATATGTTATGGGATTCTGCGCATTAGATGCTAAAAAAGTACTGTTTTTATGTTGGTACATGTAGAATTAATCTCAATGTTCTTCTTCTTTTTTAACAATGTTTTAATTTCATTTTCCTCTAATTTTACTCATAGACGTATATATTAACATATACTGAGC